AAGAAGAAGAAGAAGAAGAAGAAGAAGAAGAAGAAGAAGAAGAAGGTTTGGTTTGGTTTTTGTTTTCCTCAAGGTTTGGTTTTTGTTTGAAACCCTAGTTTCCTCAAGGTGCGATTTGTAGGGTTTGGTTAGAGTTTTTATTTTTGAGCTCCGTCTAGTCCTCTTTTGCTCTGTTTTTGTCTTGTGTTATGGAGTTGACGAAGAAAGTTTGAAATGTGTTATGTACCTATTGTTTGAAATGTGCTCTGTACCTATTTTGGAAGAAATATATACATATACATTTGATGAATGACGAAGAAGATAAGACTGTCACTTATTTCACCTACATGCTCGAACAAGATAAGACATCACTTATTTCTTCAAGACTGTATCATTTCGTCCCAGCTATTGATTAGTTGAATTCATTGATTTTTATTTTCAAGTTGTTGCATTTTCTCTCAACAGTTCCTAGCGTGATTGTTAGTATTTTTGATGGTGTGATGGTATGGTTCTCTTACTTATCCCTTTTCTTCTCTTGCTTTAGATTAGGAAAAATTATGTTGCTTTTGTTTTGTAGACTTATCCTGTTCATTATAGATGTGTTTATCCAAACATTAGAAGTGCGGTTTGATTTAATTTCTAGGATGTTAAATTATGGATTGTGGAGTTAGTTCCTTTCTTCAGTTATCAAGAGTTATGTTCACACTTACATTTACAACAAATCTGCATTTTCCCATGCCTTAATTCTGGAATCCACTGAACAAAACCGAAAAACTCAAACAAGTAGATAGCAAAAATGGAATGCAAAAATGGATGTCAAACAAGACATTTTCAATTTGTGGGACCATTTAGCCATCTAGAAAGCTCTAACCTTATTTGCAATGTTTTCGTAGCTGGCCTTGCTAATGAGTGAGAAAGCAAGAAGGAAAACATCCGCTCCACGATAGCTCAAGGTCCTTAATCTATTGTAATCCTCTTGACCTGAGAATCAAAATGTAACCTCAAATTGATAAAGAATTAAAGCCCATCTCAAAGTCTCCCGCAAAATCATGCAAAGGAAAACAAATGAAAATGAAAATGTAACCAAAGAGCTACCGGCAGTATCCCACAACCCAAAATTGACAGTGCTACCATCAACAACTACATTTGCACTGAAGTTGTCGGAAACGGTTGGAACATAATCCTGCAAGGGTGAACTAATGGCAGAATAGATAAGTGTGCAACAAAACAATAAAATTTCAAAGGCTAAATGGGTAAGAGATTGGTCAAAACAATAAAAAAAGAATACAAAACAAGAGATTGAATTGATAGAAGAATTATAGACATGAAATTTTAAGCATGATGTGTTTGGTAGAGACTGGATTGTGGATCTATAGAAACAGAACTCTACCAGCAAAATATGAGCTCTTGAAGTAAAAAATAATATTTAAATCACATCATACAAATTATGCTCCGGGTGTTCCTATAATTCTTGTTGGGACAAAGCTTGGTAAGACTTTTCTTTTTCCTTTTTCTTTCCTTTTTTTTTCTTTTGATGTTGCTATACCATCAATTGTTCACTCTCTGTTGTATCAGTTTGCAATTTAATTTTTTTATTTCTGAATAAATGTTGATTTGCTTTTACAAATTTTTACTCTTTTTAAACCATTCTGAATTGGTCGATAGAAGGGTTTGAATTTTTCTAGGGTTGTCTGCAAGAATTAAAAAAAGTTAAGTCCTTCACAGTTTTATTGTTTTCGATTGTCTACCTCTGTATTGGAAGTAAGTATATTTTGGATTTTGAGTTTGACTTGTAAACACGAAATTAAAACATGCTTGCAACTAATTACTAAACACCCTCTTTCAACTTATAGAACTTTTGACTTCATATCTTCATCCTCTAAAGTCTCAACTTCATAATCTCGTTTTTTTCCTTATTCACAACAAAGTACTTCCCCTTAAAACTAGTGCTTTTTGATAGAACTTGGATAATCCTTTCTTTAAAAAAAAAAGTAAGAAATAAATACTATTTTAAAGCACATTGATTTGCATTGGCTTAAAGATTGACTTACCTCAACCTATCGAGAGGTGTAAGGAGAAGGATTATTCGGTGGTGACCGTGAAGTGTAAGGATAGGTCGAACCTTATGTTTGATAGTGTGTGCACGCTTACCGCCGTGCAGTATGTTGTTTTCCATACAACTATCTCGTCTGACGGGCCCTACCCTCGCAGGTCGTTTTCAGATCTTCTTGTTTGTTCTTTTTCTTTTTTTTTTTTCCTCCGAAATGAAAAATATGAAGTGGGTTCATTAGAATAGTTGGATCTTCTTGTGTGTTATTTTTCTCTTTTCGAAATGAAAAATATGAAGTTGGTTCAATAGAGCATCTCCAGTAGCACACTGTAGCGTATTACGCTAGAGTAGAGACAAAATTGCTCTCCAACGCTGCGCTACATCTCTGCACTACTCTAGAGTTATGAACAATATCGCACTACATCTGGCGCGGTATATTCATTACCCTACAATTTTTATTTGTTTTTTTAATTTTTTATTATATGCAATTGATTTATCTTAAAATTCATTATTTGATAAAGTTTTTACCATTAATTTTATAATTTAATTTGAGAATTATATAAAAATACCATTATAAAAAATATAATTTTATATTGAATTACTATAAAATAAATCAAATATTATATAAAAATAATAATTCTTTGTGGAACAGTATTTTGAAAACCAACTAATATCATGATATATTTTATTTTATTAAATAATATTTTGATATATTAAATAAATTAAAATAATATGAATAATATATGTGGAGTAGAATGTATCGCGAACGGTTGGAGACTGAATTTGATTTTTGGTTAACTCTACTCTAGAGTAGAGTAAACTCTGCACTGAAGTAGAGATAAGGACTGGAGATGGTCTTAGAATAGTTGCAGATCTTCTTGTGTGTTCTTTTTCTCTTTTCGAAATAAAAAATATGAAGTGGGTTCTTGTTAGAATAGTTGGACATGGATTGTTAAGTTAATACAAATTCTAAGGAGATTGAGTTTGCCCAAGTATAAGTAGCAAGATGAGATAGAAAATATTCGAACCGTTGTTTTATTTGAACAGAGATTGGAAACTACTTTTCTTGATTGCTTGCATAATATTTGCAATGTAGTGGTTATTTTATGTGATATGGGGTGGTTTTCGAATTTCGTAAGAAATATTACATACGTCACATGGATGAGTGCACTCTAGAGATGGAAGCAGAGAAAGAGAAGGTCATCAAGTGTCTCGAGTCAGCAATTAGATGTCGAGTGAGTGAGGTAATGAAAATGATCCACTGTACTTTTTTCATTTTTCACAAAGTGTAGTTGAAGAAAATTCCTATCTTTCTTTCATATAAATATTCATCTGAAATCCATTTGTTTTCGAAATCGCATCGTCAGTAAGGGCTATTTGTTTTACAAAATGAAAACCTAAACGAGCCATTTATGACATGTGAATCGTATCTTTTGTAATTCTGAAGTCAAATTAATTCATTTTTCAGATCGACCGCACATCAGGGGTAACTTCGTATTTTGCAAAAACTACCGTGTTATGTGAGGGATTTTTTGTTGAAAAGGTTACGAGAAAGCCAGACGTAGAATTTATACGAGACCTCAAAAAGAAAAAAAAAATTGCAAAATGCTTATGAATTGCAATTCCATGTTCGAAAAATATAGTACAAGACCTAAGCCTGGAACTATGCGCAAAGGATCGTATGGGCGTCCTATCCAAAGTTATGCAAATTTTACGAGAGAACAGGCTTTCTGTTACGAGGGTAAGAGTCTCGACTGTGGGCGAACAAGCCATGAATGTATTCTACGTGAGAGGTGCTTCGGAAAAGTCCGTGGATACAAAATCTATCGAGGGCCTACGCAATAAAATTGGGCAGACAGAGGCTCAACGTGAAAAATGCCCCTAACAATGCAAAAACGCTCGAGACTAGTGGATGGGAGAAAACGAGGTTCTTCAGGAGCCTGCTGGAGAAGGTTTGGGCTTGAGTTTTACTGGACTTTGTGTTTCTTCTGATGTTTGTAGTTTGAGAAGCCTTGTGTAGTAGTGCTTTGTGTATGTGGATGAATGGGTCTAAGTAAACATTCAAAACATTGAGCTGTACAAATCAAGTAAACAATAAGTTGTCATAAAATGTTGGGCAATTTTATATAATGGAGTAGTAATTTTCACTAGCTCTGTTATTCAACTAATTAAAAGTTGGGTCAAACGAATAGCTCATTTTTGTGAGTAGTTAATAAGTTTGTCTAGGATCAAGTAAACTTATAATTGAACTGTATTAGAGAATGCACGAGTGCGATTTTTGTGTAACCATATGGATAAAACGGTTGACCTTGAGCAGCAATTAAGTTCAAAAATCCTCCTTGTCCCCCCGCAAAAGAATGGAAATTGGTTGGTGGTTGAGTAGAAAATTCACTTATTCCACGATCTTTGGCTCGCAAGGTAACATATATAGTAGGTACTTGGAACAATTCGGCCAAATTGTGCGAGTCAGATTCACAAAAAATTCTCCATTTTTCCAACTCTCCGATTTCATTCGCCATCAAGTTGCGAAATCGATACTCACTCGTGTGTTTGTCTCCACAAACAATGTCATTAATTCTATTTAAGAAGTATTTATATGACAAACTCCCCAAGCGAAAGTTCATCTCTGCCTGTCCATTTTTATAAACTTTCTCATCCCAAAATCCGCTATGCACAATTCGAACTTTTTCACACATCTGTAAAACAAAGATGCAAAAGTATTTTACTGACAAACAATTACCAATAATTATTAGAGAAATAAGTAATGAATGTTTATAATAAAACAAATAAAATTTGAACAAAAAATGATTTTCGGAATCACATAAATGGTTTATACGATTCGAAAACTATTTTCGGGATGTATCTATCGTTTCTGGGATCTCATAAACCATGTTGGAGATTCAAAACAGATTTCTGGGACCAGAAATGACGTTTCTGGGACCAGAAATCGATTTCTGGAACACAAATGATTTCTACGTTTCTGGGCATCGATATCTGAGTCCAGAAATCGAAAATCAACAAAAATCCCAGAACTCAATTTTTGTACCTGGAAATTGATTTCTGGACCAAAAATCGCCAGAAATCGAATTCTGGGCAAGAAAGCGATTTTTGGATCTTCTCGTTTCTGGACCCAAAAATCGATTTCTGTACCCGAAAATTGATTTCGGGATCTTCTCGTTTCTGGTCCTAGAAATCGATTTCGCTTCTTGATGGCAAATGAAATCAGAGAGTTGGAAAAATGGAGAATTTCTTGTGAATCTGACTTGCACAATTTGGCCGAATTGTTCCAAGTACCTACTATATATGTTACCTTGGGAGCCAAAGATCGTGGAATAAGTAAATTTTCTACTCAACCACCAACCAATTTTCATATGTCATTAACAGTGAATATTTTTTTAGCCATTTAGATTTGTGAAATACAAATTTTAGCCATGTTTTGACAAAAACATATTTTTTAGCCATTTTGCCACCTAAAAAGACAAAAATGTCCTTGCTATCAATTTTTTAAAAAGAAAATCATCTCTTCCCTCTTCTCTCATCTCTCTTCTCTCTTCATTCATTTTCAATTTCATTCACTCATCTCAATATTTTTTTAAAAAAAAAAAAGCATTCTCTTAACAAAAAAAAAAAAAATGCAGAAATCGATTTCGGGATCTTCTCGTTTCTGGTCCTAAAAAAGATGTTTTTGTCAAAACATGGCTAAAATTTGTGTTTCACAAATCTAAATGGCTAAAAAAAGATTCACTCTTATTTAATATAAAGCACTTAAAATATTGTAGCATATTTTATTATTTCCAACTTCTTTATCATTGTGACACCTCATATTTACTATGATTCCTTTTTTGCCATTGTAATCCACATAATTCTTTATTTTCTTTTGTTTAGGAACTGAAACAACATATTTTAGCTTTTTGTTGGATATTCCACTGGCAATACATTTTTTTCAAGTCCCCATTATCTCCATACATAGCGTACGCTTCCTAACTATATCTAATTATTAAAGCAATGGCTTGGCACTTAAGTTTTTTTTTTTTCGAAACGATAGAAATATTATATATAACCGAACAAATATACAAAAAGAATAACCACCAGTTGAATACAAACAAACAACAATTGAATATAAACAGCCAACAGCTGAATAAAGTGGGAGGACAGTCAAAAAATCGCCTAGAGCCGACCCCAAACGGGTAATACTCACGGACACACAAAACACTAACACAAAAAAACTATAAAACTAAAAAGACTCCAACATGGTAATATTAAGTGTCAGATCCCAACAAAATAATAAGTTGACACTCGGGCAGATACAGAGGCCAAAGGCCCAGACCAAAAACACAAGACAATCAGACATAACAAACGAAACACACCTAAATATTGAACAAAAAAAAAACAAGAAAAAAACCTAACAAAAAAAAAATCGATGCCCTCCCTCAGCAAAACATCCAAGTTGAACGGCAGACAAAGGCCAACTCCAAGGAGAGAACCGAAGCACAGGAGCTACGCCCGCCACTGCCTATTGCCTAGCAAAGACGAAGACTCGAACCTCGAACCAATCCAATGAAATTGACCCGCTCTTCGACTATAAGAAGCCACAATCGTCCTCCAACCGGCTAACACCACTAGCCAAGTCCGACACCATCTCGAAGTCGACTAATACCACTAGCCAAAGTTGGGCCTCCCTCGGACTCCGAATCCGAGAACAGGGAAGAAATAGGAACGAATGGCGACAAAGCCCCAACAAACCAACAAAGCCCAGACAAGCGAGACGTTCTCCACCCAGCCTAGAAAGGGACACCCGACCTGTTGGTATATGTGTCCTAGAGACAATCATTTTAAGGACATATATACATGATCACATAGAATTATGGTATTGCAATTAATTAAATTATTGTTTGATTGTTTGAAATTTATTAATTAATTGCTCCTTTGAGTTGATACTGTCATTAGCAGAATGAGATGTTAATTGATAAAGTATAACTCTAAAATTGCCTCAATCGATGATCATTAAGAAATGGGATATTAATGATACGTGATAGATTGACATGTGGTCTGCATCATATTCTTGGAGAATATAGTATGTCTCACTGCTATGAATAACTATTATTCGTGATGGACACATGGATACT